TCTCAACGCATCCCTGGTCTATGATACGTCCCCACCAAGACACAGCCACCCTGCCGGGATAGGGTTTAACTAATTAAACGCAGGGACAACTTTACCTTTAGTTAATTGTTATTATCATTGTTTGGAAAGCTTAGAAATGTGGTGTTGGAGAAGGATGGAGAAGATCAGTTGGACCGATTATGTGATAAATGAAGAAGTGTTATTTAGAGTCAGTGAGCAGAGGAATATCCTACACGAAGTAAGAAAACGGAAGGCTAATTAGATTGGTCATATCTTACGCGGTACCTGCCTTCTAAAAGAAGTTATTGAAGGAAAGATAGAGGGGCGGATAGAAGTGACCAGAAGACGAGGAAGAAGACGAGGAAGAAGACGTAAGAAGATGCTGGATGACCTTGGGGACAGAAGAGGATATTTTCATTTGAAGGAGAAAGCTCTAGATCGCATCAAGTGGAGGAACTGTTTTGGAAGAGACTGTGGCCCTGTCGTCTTCACAGATTACTGATGAATGAAATGAATTATAATTGTTGAGATGAAACAACGTGACGCAGCCCGCTGCTGATGTGGCTGTTGTTCCTGGTTTGAACTGTTGCATGAAGCCGTCAAGCTGAGGCGTCTAGAGATCCTCTGCTACTGGGGTCACATGGGGTCTATACAGCAGGGTTTTGCCCGAGCCAGATTTCAGTCCAGCAACGTTTCTCGCTCGTCTGCAACTTCGCCCACTGTTGCACGCTGTTCAGTGCGATACCGTTGCTACAGCTACAGAAGTTAACTACGAGAAATCTATATGACTCCGTTATTGTAAACGTAAATTTGTCCAGGTACTTAATTAAGGACCAAGGCATGAAAACGTATGGGGGATTGAAGGTACACCTCCACCATCTTGACCTCGCCACTAGTTTCGCTCCCCGGCCGCTTAGCCCCCGGTACATATTTTTTTCGAGTAAAATTTAGGAAAACTAGAGCACAGATTGTTATGTTCAGCAGACTTATAACGTAACTTTTACTGTTCACATTACAATTGAACAAGACTTGTACTGAGCTTCACGCCCCGGCCGCTTTTTTCGAAGGGAAATAGCTGCCGGTACTAATTGTGGGTGGGCCCCAGACAGGTCTGGACGCCAAGGAGAAGGAAAAAGCTCTTGTCTCCTGCCAGGAATCGAGTGCCGATTCATGGGTGTACAACTAGTAGCGAGTCGCCGTACCGACTGACCTAACCCGGATCTGATCTTACTGTGCAGTTTTGGACATAAGTATAGTTGAGGGGTTAAACTGGCTTAGCGCTATAAGAAAGCAACGAATTGGCTACAGTGTTACGGATGGCGCGTTGAGAGTTGGGCTTCGGAGAATTTATTTGTGGTTTGTTTAAAGATGATGTTAGTAACTCAAGATTAGGTAACGTCGGATGGTAGATCAAGAGTCAATGATGAAATAAAAAAATATGAATGGAAGTGGCCGTCGCCAGATTTATAACACACATCCAAGCATTTTGGTTGGATGATATGAAACCTCTCACTGAGACATGTTCAGAAGGTGCGACGTTCGAATCCGCCGGATTTCCATCTTTTCCCGTTAAATTCTCCGTGGTTTCCTCAGTTACCTAAGGTAAATATCGCGATATTATATATATAGATATTGGACCTAAATTACGTCATGACCATTTCATTTGCAAACCCTTTATAACTCAGTATTAATGATCAACCAATTATTCGATTCTACAATGTCTGAGTTAGTTACAGCGCGGCCTCCATGCCAAGATTCGAAACCGGGACCTACCGAATGCGGAGCAGGCGTGATAACACCCGTGGATCGCAACCTCTCGTTGAAGTTTCAGATCAAAGTGGTATAAATGTCTCAATGGCCGATTTATTTGTGGAACCCAAACTGACGGCTTTGTTAGGAACACCAGGAACGCGAGTCACTTGCATTAACGCGGTTCGAACTGAAATCCTTCCAACGCGGTATAGTTCAGATGTACATAACCAACAAAAAGAACTGAGTGAACGGGTCGCGGCTGTGGGACTATCAGTAAATTACTGAGAAGGCTCAGCTGTTTGTGTCTAATGCGTTCTTTAGTCGCATTCGCATCCATGCGAACCGTCAGTCCGTCTTGCTGTAGGCTTGCACGTGAAAGAACTTGAGAAGCATCAACAAATTTTCATGAAAATTACTTTTGGCGAGTTTCACTAAACACTCCCGACACATTCCAAATTCGGTAAAAATCGGCCAGCAATACCGGACACTTCACACGAAGACTTCTGCGCATTTGTGCTCGCGCATCTCGAGACCAACTCACCGAAAGCTCATTGCAGAAAGAATTTTATCGAGTAAAATTTAGGGGAAATGGAGCATATATTTCTATATCCAGTAGACTTATAAAGTGTTTCTTACGAATTACACCACAATTAAACAGAACTGTCGTTACGCCATGCGTGAATTTCCTAACTTGTTTACTCACCACTCAACAGCGGCCTTCCGGACGCAAACAAAGATTTCCAGACAATCTACAACGGTTTTCCGAAGACATGCAAAGAGATTCTCTGTCTCTCTGTCTGTCTCTCTGTCTATCTCTCTCTCTCTCTCTCCTGTTGCTCTCACTTTGGCGCACAGGCCATCCGTGAAGAACTTTGTTTCACTTCAGTTTCTTAATCCTAAGACAGTCGATATGAATCCTTGGACGGGGGATCAGCCGTTAACTATACGGAACAAAACAAACACAGAATAAAAGCAGACAGACATCCATGCCTTGAGTGGGATTCGAACGCACGATCCCAGTGTTGGGGCGGGCGAAGACAGTTCTTGCTTTAGACCGCTCGGCCACTGTGTCAGCTAAGGCAAAGATTACTAAACACATCATAGTGCGTTTCCGAACAAGCAAAGATAACAGAAAAATTACCAGATAATCAGCAATTGTTTTCCGAACACGTGCGAAGATTATCGAAGTCTCCTATTGCCGGTATAGCGAACTACTGGCTGGACGACCGTTGGGTCGGAGTTCGTGTACCGGTAGGGTCAAGAATTTTCTTTTCTCTACGTTGTCCAGACTGGTTATGGAGCCCATCCAGCCTCCTATCCAATGGGTGCGGAGGGATATTTCCCCGGGGGTAAAACGGCCGGGGCTTGAGGCTGACCACTCACCTCCAAATAATGCCGAGGTCAAGAAATCATGAATCTATACATTCACTCCTCCATACGTCTTCATGGCGTAGTGCTTAATAGCGGTAGTTAGGCGCAGGGTGAAATCTAAATTGCCTATTGCCGGAAGTGACTAAATAAATATTCTTCCCAACTGCGTGTATGTACAGTTTTGTTGATCTTAGTGCCCGTGCGGTCTAGGCACTAACTATCTTCGCCCGCTCGAACACTGGGATCGTAAGTTCGAATCCCACCCGAGGCATGATGTCTGTGTGCTTTCATTCTGTTTTTGTGTTGTTCTATGTATAGGTAGCGAACTTGTGACGGGCTGATCCCCTGTTCAAGGAGTCCTGCCGACTGTGTATAGATTAAGAAATTGAAAAAGCTGCCAAGGTCCACAAGGGCTGTAGAGCCATGGATGGAATGATATAAGACAGACAGACAGACAGATACGTGCTACTAAAACTGGTACGTTATTCCCTTCGAGATAACTAAACAAACAGAGCGAACGCACTGCAATTGTTACGCTGTCCATTAACGAACTTGTTCTTAGCTACGGGAGTGGGGACCACTCGGTACTACTCTCAAATGTGCCTACCTCACCGGCCTGTGTTGTTACACGAGTGCGCAGCGGGGAAATCGAAATACTCAGACAATGGGAAAGAAAAATCCTTCCGCAACACCAATTTGTCTACCATAAATCCAACGTGGGCTACACAGAGAGCGAGCGCTGATTCTCTCGCATTTCCCTGGCTTCTCATATAAGCTCGATGCATCACATTCGCTTAGATGAGTGAACTGAAATGAATAGTTTACTTGAGACTATCGACAATATAAATAGGCGAAAATTAATGAAATTCTTATAAAGTCAATTTTAATGATGGAAATATTTCGATTTTGCTCCAGCCGGAGGCCCGTTTTTCGAATCTCGTTGCGTTTAGGATGTTTCGGCATATATTCATTTTGGTCCGCTAGCTGTACTCAGAAGTACGGTTTCACTAATATCGGGAAAGCAGTTTGAGACCAAACACTGCCTATGCAGTCTCATTTAGGGAAATTGTCTCCATAAATTGCTGTAATGTAATCAAAATCGTTGGAGCCGTTTTCCAGGGAATCGCCACTCTGTTTCTTGCGGACCGTCTGAAGTTCCCGCCCTCCTAAATCTTGGGGCCAGCGAGTTCAAATTCACCCCGCGCTGGCCTGTGACGGACATGTTCTTTGTTAGCGACTGTAAATACAATCCATGGAATTACTCAGGACAGCTGAATACGTGCAAATCCGTCAACATATCAAAATCTGTTTTTTTTTACCGCCACAGCACTGTCTCTCACTGCGTGAGGGCTATGCGAGCAAATGCATCACGTCATATCGCTGTTTGGGTACCGGTTTCAGTACCGGTACGTGTGGGGCGAAACCTGCCGTTAAATTATCACGATTGATGTCGAGAATTCTGTCGATAATTGGGGTCAGATAAGTCAAGAATCTGTCCCACACACATTTCTATTTTTTTTTTTTTTTTGAAAATGAAAATTGGAAAAGAATTGAGCGTAACCTACCCCAACATTATTTCACAAAGACCTATGGCTCTAGGAGTGTCCGTAATCACATTCTTAAATTGCCTGTTTAAACGTCAGTTTGTAAGCAAATTTTTTGCACACCCCTTCACCCTCTCCACAGGGAGGAAATGGTGTGGGCAGCTAGGGATCTAAAGTATGAAAACTGCAAAGGTCTTAATCCGCAACAAATAACTGCTTAAAATATTCAAGCGTCTTCATGTTCTGCTACTTGACGAAACTGAACACAAACCTAGGCTATCGAGTAGCGTAGTGGACCAGAACTGGAGAACACATGGTTAGAATATTTCTTACCTGTTTGGCTGCAGACGGTACCTTGCTCGAATTAACCAACACAGGTGGAACTTGTCACAAAAAAAACAAAAGACGTAACGCGTCTTGTGTCAGACTATCACCAGAAAGCGTAAAATGAAATTATCTTTTAACCAGAATGAACAAGGCTCCTGCATGCGATGTCGAACACTTTCAAATAAGTTGCCTTTAATCACTTAACTATTCACTTATCCATGTTCATTATACATGAACAAATATATTGTATAACTACACATTTATTTACAAATATATCCATTTAACAACTGCCAGAAACTAAAAACCACTACATAACCAAGATTTCCACTATTTCGTGCATGGCACGCAGTGAACAGTTGTTTCCAAAGCTGGCCGTGTAGGGTTCGCTAGAGACGGTAGGGCGCCGCACAGTTTTTACTTTAGATGCGGTTAAAAGCTGTTGGGACGCAATCAGATTCATCATGGCGGCCTGCGTAACGTTCCTATTGGCTGTCTGCTTTTAAGCTGGGTCCGAATGACGAGAACAGAAGGCGGAGTCGAGGTAACCCTCGTGTTGGGAGCGTGTGATAGGCATATATTTTGTGTTCCTAATATTCGCTACGCCGCTGGTAGGTTCCTTCTTATACTTCTGTGTGTTATACCGAGAGAATTGAATATAAGGCCTCCCCCTTCCCGCCGTCGTCTGTGCCCCTAACGTAACAAACGAGATTACAGTAGTGGAGGGGGTAGCAAGTTTTGCATTGTTTCCATAGCACAAATGAAACCCATTCAGTTCCCTGATCGTTACAACTGAAAATTCTGCGCGATCAATATGTAAAAGCCTTCAGTACTGGCCACAGTTTCAAAATTTCAGGCCTGTTGGGTTTGAGGTTCTTACCGCAGTGAGGACGCGCAGTCCAGCAAAATTCGACTGACCGTCCTCTGGTTACTGCTTGCGTCTTTCTGGATGGTTCATTTGGTTTACTCTTGAAACCCTGAAGATGGAGTAAGCGAACTCCTGCCTTACTACACGGTGTCACGCTCCGCTTTACAGGTTACTTAGCGACAAGGGCTGTACAGCTTAAGAATGATGGAACCAAATTTAATGATGAATTGGCAACGACGAGGAAGGAGACGGCTGTTAAGTAACTTGAGGTAGGGCACGACTCCAATTTTCTGATTTGGCTCGATTTCTTCTTTAAACAGTTAAATTTTAAGAACATCACTTAAACAGTTTTAATTTTTCGTCTATATTGGACACTGTAATTAACCATCTGCACACGATTTGCTTGCTGCTGTTGCGAACCAATTCGTGCAGATATTCTTATCTTACTTGTGTTATCCCACCGCCCTTCAGTTCAGCTTAGGGAGGATAATCGGGATTTCACTCTACTCCACAGGCATTTGTCCAGAGGGACTGCAGAAAACCACTAAGAAACGTCACTCATGATAGACTACGATAGTCGATTAACTTCTTAAACCACTGTAACAATAAATATGATAATAAATAAACGAGAGATGGGGTTTGTTATGGCGATGATTTTGAAGATACTGTTTTCAGGGATGTGACATGTGGTCTGGTAAATATTTACCACAGATTCGGAGGAACCTACTTCGTGCTTCTTCGGGGTAGAAGATGTATGGGAGGGAAGGAAAGAAATGGAGCGCAGACTTGCATGGTTTCATAATTAATATTCATAACGATACACATTTCGTCTCCTTAAGTTTCCATTCCAAATCCCTGAAATCACGAACATGTAGACTAATTGCTATAAAGATTTTTGTATTAATTTAATTTAAACCACCTACCTTAACACCCAAGAACTCCGCATTCTGTGAGGTATGAACTGAATTCTTATATAGGATGTCCGGATGAAAGGTATCCAAAATAAAGAACTTATATCTCGGAAACTAATTGTTATACACGTATCCGGTTTAAGCCAACGGAAAGGAAAACTCTGAAAGTTTGTTTCATTCCCCGGCTTACGCGAATACGCCGCCACAGTTTCGCCACCATGTTAGGAATCACCTGGACAGAGAGATGAATGGGATATGAATTGGCAGAAGTGAACCAATCGCTTGGCCTCCTAGGTCGCTAGAGCTAACCGCAGTGGATTTTTTCTTGTGGGGTTATGTGAAAAATATTGTCTACCGGGTTAAGCTCAACGACCTTCAATACCTGAAAGCCAGCATAAGGGACGCTGTGGCTATGGTAACACCAAACATGCTTCAAGCCTGGATATTTGCCGTACCACCAAGGGAGCCCACATTTAAATTTATTGAGAAAGTTATATACGCAGAAAAAAGCTTCGATAGTTTCATTTTGTAATGGTGTAACCCATTAATGTGTATAATAAATTCTTTCTGAGATATAAAGATTTTATTTTGGATGGCTTTCATCCGGGCATTCTGTATACTATTGGGAAGTGTAACTGTGTGTTCCGTATGGTTCTCACAGTAAACAGAGATTTTTTTTCCCTAACGACATTAACCGGTTGGGCTTCGTAGCGGAGACGTAATGTGTTTCTTGTGAGGTACGGACTGAATTCTTATATACTATTTGGAAGTGTATCTGTGTGTTCCGTATGGTTCTCACAATAAACAGCGACTGTTTCCCTAAATAACATTAATCGGTTGCTTTGTAGCGGAAACGTAATATGTTTCCTGTGAGGTACGGACTGAATTCTTATATATTATTTAGAAGTGTACTGTGTGTTCCGTATGGTTCTCACAATAAACAGCGACTGTTTTCCTAAACAGCATTAACCGACAGGGCTTTGTAGCGGAGACGTAATGCGTTTCTTCTTAGGTACGGACGGGGTATTTATATATATAAGTGAAGAGTGTTGCCTTTACGCTAACCGGCTCGGTGATCCAGTACTTTATGTAATTGCAGTTTTTAAGTTTGACTTTATTTACAGCCTTCGGAGTAGTTCGTGTTGTTAAAAAAGGAAAGATATATTCTATAGAATTATAATTAGACCTAATTCAGATCGGAGATCAAACATAAGGGATACTTTGAATTTTAAAAGCAAATCCATTCAAACTCTCCTTCAGAACTGCCGGTACGTGGAATATCATCCCTCGTTACTTTAACCTAACAGAAATTTCGTGTGACGGATTTCACTCCTCCGACAGCAATATTTTTACTAATATTTTTGTGAAGTAACTTTGGCATCTTTGCGCTGGGGCACCTCAACCAACCAGTCCCTTCTCTTGCTCTTAGTGCAGGCGGAGGCTTTGATCGATTTCATCAGTCACTCCAGGCGAATTCTGCGAGACCAGGTGCAACTTTTTCTTATTATTATCTCAGCAACGTTTCTGTTTTCCTCGGCCTACGAATGAAAACCGCCCACCCTCTTCTTATAACAATTTTTCCTTTTCGAGTTCTTGACAGGGTTTTCTTTTCTCCCTGAAGTCTTCTACTTCCTAAATGAACTATCTTTTTCTGGGTCATCCCGTACGTCTCTTTCCTTTAAATTCCAATTCTAATCCCCATCTCAGATCTATTTTATCCATTCTTTTTACATAGCCACACTATTGCTATAGTTGGAATTTTGTTGCCGGCAAAGGGCGGCCGGCTGTCGCGGAAACTGACCTCACCGCCATCTGTGAGCCGACTGTCTAGAATATGTGGAAGCCTCGGCGTCTCACAGCTTTGTGGGCCTCCACGGCCTGTTACAAAGATAGCTGTACCTTTTATTTATCTCTCTTCTTCTTCTTCCTCTCCTCCTCCTCCTCCTCCTCCTCCTTCTTCTTCTTCTTCTTCTTCTTCTTCTAATTCTGTTAACTTATTTGGATTATAACTTCTTTTCGATCATACATACACGCATATATATATATATATATATCGGTCCCTTGTTACTTTCAAGACAATACTCTCAAGGATTTGGTACCCACTGCTTGAATATCGCCCATGTTCCCCTTCGTAGGGATCACTATTTCGACGATGTGTTAGTACCGTTTAATCATGTTACAGATGATCAATGTCCTACTACATTTAATGATGGATACCGTTATGTAGAAATAAGTTGTGGCATATTTGCTCAAGGAAAGAACTATAGAGCCAGCAGAGGCAACCGTTACTAGGAAATGGCTCTGCGTACACGGCCGCTACTAGCCAATAGATTCGTAACAAGCAACAATGGAGTAATTGGGAAGCGATGTTCCCCCAAGCGATCAGTGCGATAACTACGTGACGCTACAACAGAACTCTTGGGAGAAGTGTTTTCTGTGCGGTCCATGCCGAGATGATATAAGCAGTATAATTCTAGAGTTTAGTTAGTTGTGAGACAGTCGTCGACGAATAAGGACATAAACACGGAAGCTGAGGAGGCTACGGCGTTAGTAGCCGTTACCAGGCGACAACCGGTGAAGGTATGGCAGACTGAGAAGTATTTGTGGGTGCTGTAGTGAAGAGCAGAGTGTGTGAATTAGCGAAGTTATTCGTCGTTACGATCTGTAGGTCAATAAATCCAATTACTAATCCAAACCCCGTCTATAGTCACATATAGACGTGAGAGTATCCTGCCGCTCTCAATGGCCACGCGATCTGACTTGGGTACAAAATTCGAATTAACGAGCATTACAATCGTTGAGCTGAAATTCTGCTCGAGACATAGAAGTATATCTTCGTCTTGCCCTGTGAAGGTGGCAGCCTTGCGATTAGGTCGATCCAACATCAAGCAGTCCTACCAATATTTATACTTTCCGAAATTTATTCTCAATTGGAGCACGCCAGGAGAAAATAACAGACCCATAAATCTGGAGAAGAGGAAATGCTTTGTGGTTACAATTCATATTATCTCCACCCTCTGCGACATGATCTAGCTTGTTTGTGTACTCCCTTCCGAGCCGAAAGTCACCGTGTTGACTCAAAATATTACAGATCAGAGCACTCACTCGATACTGACCCGGTGCGTCTTGTTCTACCAAACTTTGTTCTAAGCAAGGAAACACGCAGAACCAACCAGAGGAAATTAAAGCAACATATTCAACAAACATAAACCAAACACGTGGTTAGACATAAAGGCAAGGCGTAACATAACATGAATGAAAGCAAAGTGACCCTTTAAACACACCTTGCACACCTGCTGATGGCCGGCTGGGCCGAAACCTGTTGCGAAATAAAGCAGACAGGAGAAACATCAAATCCTGGCGGATTTTGACAGAGTTGCACAAGGACGGGTAAGACTCAGATCATTACTCAAGTTTAAAGGCTATTTATAATGACTTCTAGATCATTTAGGACAGATAAAGATAAAGTTGCCAATCATAATGGCCGTGCGGTCTAAGGAATAAACCATCTTCGTCCTCTCGAACACTGGGATCGTGGGTTCGAATCCCACTCGAGGTATGGATGTGTGTGCGTTTGTTCTGTGCTTGCGTTGTTCTGTGTGTAGGTAGCGGTCTCGC